TTTCCACAGTGGATGTATGGCTGCTAAATTCAGGGAAATTGACTGAAATCTTATTGGTGAGCTATCCAGGCAGCTGGATCTGATGTCATGGAAAGAAAGATTATAGGAGAAGGAGAGGACTTCCTTTCCCCCTCAGAAAACCAAGCAATGGGATGAAGGCAAGAGGTAAAGGTGCTTGAAGGAATGAGGATCACTTGACGACTAATGGGAAGATTGCAGAAGAGCGAAGCAGTAATTGGGGAAGAGGTTTCCGACGATGTCATAGAGAAGTGATAGCAGATGATACATAATGTGGTAGAAGAGAAGTAAGTCTTTGAAGCTGGAATATGACAGAGCATCACTGCCCACAGCGACAAGGTCCATGAAGTCCATAACTAGATTTCCCAATATTTTGATTTTTACTGAAAAGCGGCACTCTCTGTGTTTGTACCTGTCTATCCAAATGGGACAGTAAGAGCAAACAGTGGAGCCTAGTGGCTCTACCATCTATGGGGTAGTGAATTTGCTTCGGGTGCTGAACCTTGCATCTCACCTCCATTGGCTTCACTGCTTGAAAGACCATTTTAAAAGTTCGGATGAAAACTCGGGACAGAGCAATGTGTGCCAATGATCTCAGCCCTTTTCTCTTCCATCAGAATTACCTATTTACCTGTGTTGTTTCTCCATATGAGACTAGCTGCAGCTGGAGAGGTGGCAGATTAGGGAAATGGCATGGGGAGAGGGTTTAAGTTGCACTTATTCAGCACAGTTGCTCTGATTCAGCGGGGATATCCCCCCTCCCAAATCCCCCACAATGAGCTACTCTTGGGTAAAACTCAAAGCGTGGCAAACTGTTCTCCATCATTTTAAGAGCTCTGCGGACTGAAAATAGATGAATGTGCGGAAATAAATCATATTCCAAGGGACATTTTTGCAACTGGCTAGAAGTGGCTTTTCAAAATCACAAATATCCCAGCTAGAGAGAAAAAAAAGGGAGGGAAATACGTTCGTGGATTTTCGGCAGAGGGTGGTCCCTGTTTCCTCCAAAGGCAAACAAAATTAAATCCGAACAGCACAGCATAAGCTTATTAACTGAGCCATCCTGTACATGTCTAGTGAAAGTAAGTCCCATTGATCGGAATGAGGCTTATTCCCAGATAAGTGGGTACAAGAAGGTGATCATGGCTCCAATCTTGAGCTCCCCCCCCCAAATAAAACAATATTACCAGCCAGATAATTCTGAGAGCATGCAGGATAAAATTCAATGACCTATTAAGTGAGGATCAATTTTCGTTTTAGGAAAGGGGAGAAAAAGAACAAAGGTACCATTTTTTGTAACCCAGCGTTGAAAGGGAAGCTGAGAAGCCCGGGAGAATTTTTATATTGCATTTATTGACCTAGGGGGAATGGGGTTGACAGCTGGAATGAGATGTTCACTCTATTGTGGGAGACGGGGAAAGATGGTGAGGGCAAAAGAATAATATATAATTCATCCACAAACTAGGAAGCTATCATTAGAGTGAGAGATATTGAGAGAAGAGCTGTTAATCGGGAAAGAGGTCTGTCAGAGGGGCTTACCGTCATCGTATTGATAGAGGCTACAGTCAGGCCCAAGCGTTGAGGGAAATAATGGTGACTCGATGGACGATATGAAAGAAAAGCCTGGTACAGCGGGAAAGCTGTAAACATGTTTAGAATGAATCCAGGGTTTTCCAGAACAATGGATTAAGAAGACACGGGGATGAAAGGAAGCAACTTGAGAGTAGAAGAAGTAAGAATGGAAGTACATGGGAACGGGGGGCTCAACCCACAGGACTTGCTGTCGAGTCAGTCGTAAGTCATACCGGTGACTCAAACTCAACTTGGTTCCCCCCACAATAACTCAAACTCAACTTATGACTCAGAACCCATTCACCACTCCTTCTTTTTTTTCTGGGGAAAAAGCTTGTTTTTAATAGGGACTCAGACGTGGTGTTTGGGATTCGGGACTTTGTACCAAAGACTTGGTACGTACTAAAGACTTGGGACTTGGTACATACCAAAGACTCTGCTATGGACTTGGGACTTGGAACTAAAAACGTGCCAGCCTCCCTGCTTGAGAAGCAGGAGGGGTCCGAAGAGCAGAAACAAAACAGATTGGCAAGGAGGAGGGAAAACGGCCGGGTAGCTCCATGGCGTAGGCCTTTGTCTGCAGAGCCCGAAGTTGGGACTTCGATTCCCCACTGGGCCTCCTTTGGGCTGGACGCTATGATTCATAGGGTCCCATTCCGGCTCTGCGGTTCTAAGATTATTAGCGCAGGCCTTGTAAATTTAGCTGTTTCAGAGAAAGCTATAGATAGAGTCCGGATCTAACCCACGTGGACGTGGTATCAGAGAAAGGAAACAGGTGGTTTCAAGATACGAAGACAATGTGGCGAGAGAAGAGGAGAGCAAGAGAAAGGACACGGGGCTGGGGCATTTTCAGAACTCTAGTTCAAAAAATAACTTTTGCAAATGCTGGAGAGTCTTTTGAGGCAGAAGTTGGCTTAGTTCCCTATCTTTCACTTTCTTGCATTATGCAGGCTACACTCCCCTCCCCAGCCAGACAGCCGGGTACTCAATTTACTGACCACGAAAGTATCAAGTCAACCTCGAACCAGTGATGGGCTCAAACTCAGGTTATGAGCAGAGGCTTGAATGCAGGACTGCAGTTTAACTGCTGTGCCATGAGGCTCGATGGTGGATGTGTGCCTTGTTGGACCGTTTGGAACCAGGCAGGAGTGGAGCATTGGTGTTGTGACTTGTGAATCTTCTTGTCGCAGAGGCTCTGACAACAGCGCGACATGATTCTCCCTATGGATTGAGGGTGATACGAACCTTCCAAAATCCCAGGAACCCACATTTATGACCTGATTAACCACGTGTTGGATGGATGCCATATGATTATTTGGGTTTTATGTGGATTCCACCATCAGTCACCCTGGAAGCAGTTTCAGCCTTCATCAACCACCTGACTGTGGGTCATCGCAAAGACTCACTCCATGTTCAACTTGCTCTTAGTCTCGGGTTCGGATTCTGGCATTTCCAGAAATGAGATTCTGCTCATTTGGCAACTCTAGAAATGTTGTGTTTTTTGAGTACAATTCCTACAACCCCATAACGGTATGGCTGCAAATGTGCTGGTTATAAGATTTAAGCGGTTGCTGGTCAAAAAAGTGACCACCCCCCTTTCTTCCATCTTGAAAAAGAGACTACACCTGTATTGGGTTTAACCCCCCCTCCAAAAATAAACCCTATCTTGTGCTTTGTGGAAAAAAGACATTTGTGGTTTCACATAAGAAAGGAGGCGTTCTGCAATAAGTTTTAAGATATGAAAGAAGTGTGGTGTGCAAAAAGCCCCCACTTCTGTCAACTTTTCACAAAAAAAAGTTCTTAAATGCAAAAAGAAGAAAGAAAAAAACAAGAAGAAAAGCCCTCAACCTGCCTTATGGAGAGAAACTTTTCAAGTGTTTTATTACCACCTGCAAGAATGAACTAAGGTTTATATCCCTAAAATCATGCACCCAATTAATTTCGTGGCTTACGTTTCACTGCTGATCCAATTAAATATATCCTTCAATCACTTGCTAAAGGGGAGGTCCATGCATAAATAAATGCCACCGATTCAGGGGGTCTACTGCAGTTGCCACTAAGTTGCCAGTGGATCAGGCAAAAAACAATGAAAAATCAAAAAAAGACAAAAACGTTGTGGCACCTTAAAGACTAATTGTTATATTTTTGTTGAACTTTCGTAGATCAAATCACCTTCCTCTCTCTCTCTCTTTCTCTATCTCTGTCTCTCTATATATGTGTGTTTGTGTGTAAACTTGCGCTTAATGAATACTTTTTTTCCTAACGTCCCTCAACCTACATCTCTGTTTCTACCCCAGATAAGACAAACAGCAAAGATTCTTAGAAAAGGGCCTTTCAAGGATCACACCAGATTGTCTTGCACTTTTTATTTTGAGAAAGTAAAAAAAAAAATCAAATTGAATAACATCTACTGCCCTTCTCTCCAGAGTTATGGCTCCTTCCGTGGCACTGATATCTCGTTACTGAACTTCTGATGGGACGCAGGTTCTCCGTGACACGCCGGGTCAGGTAAAACATGCAGGAAGCTTCCACACACCATGATCCCCTTTTCACAGCCTTGTCGTTGAAAAGAGTTCACCAGAGACCAAAAATGTGTGGTTTTTGCAAAAATAAATTTCCTTCCAACATGGCTTCCACACCATCACAGACCTCGGACCCCAGGCTTGAGAAGAAGCAGTCCCGTGATCTATAAGCTTTTCTTTCACCACAAAGTGTCCTTACACATTTGAATACCTTCAGACAAATTGTCCCTTCGTATGGAATTGAGAAAAAGAGAGAAACCTCCTTCTAAAAAAGTTTAACAATTTATTAAACTATGAGACAGGCCAGTTCTCTTATTACATTTTCACTTGGAAGGCTAGCAGTTAGAACAGCTGTTTGAGAAAAGATGTGGAAGATCCAGCTTCAGTTTGCCCCATACACAACGAACAATCACAATAAATTAAGATAAGGCGCAACACAGAACTTAGGGATCCGGAGTAGGGATGCGCTAATGCAACCATACAGAAAGATACATACAGTATACAAAAGGTTTCATCTCAAATATGCAGTAACTGGTGTTTTACTTCTGTGGTATAGTTCTGTGTGAAGCTGTTTAGGGCAGCCAAGCACCTGGAAGAACTAACTGTTATCCTGTTCTAGAAGGGAACAATCCGTGTATTGGGTAAAGGAAGGGAGAGCTTGTGAATCAGGGTCTGGGGTGGGCTGGTGGGAGTCCCCCGAACATCAGCGGCCACCGGGCAAAGTCACCTACACACAGCTCTTGAACATGGAGCCACACTTCAAAGGACCGTAAGAATGAAGGTTCAGATGAGCCTTTGAACCATTAGAATTAATATCCACTTGGATGTGTCATGGGTCTGTAGCAACTTCCAGGGCCTTGGACCAACCGTCGTAGAAGTAAAAGCCAAGGGTGGGGGATGATGGAAGGTGTGGCTTGGCAACATGGCTCATATCTGGTCTAAAGCAAGACCTTTAGACCCATCATCCGATCCTCTTCTCCAGGAGAGACAGTTCAATATTTTCAGTAGGCGTCTTTGATTTCCCAACCTGGGGTCCCCAGATGTTCTTGGACTAAATCTCCCAGAAGCCATCACCACTAGCTGTGCTGCCCAGGATTTCTGGGAGTTGTAGTCCAAGAACATCTGGGGGCTCAAAGCTGGGAACCACAACCCTACCCAATCAACCAGTCCACCCTCCAAAAAAGGCTATCGACTTGAAGGAAAGTCGTTTTCAGATTGTGTTGAAAAACCACCACCTGTGATTATGTCTGAAGGAACATAAGCCAACCCAACGCACCACAATGTGAAGACAAAGGGGATCCTTGACAAGAAACACAGGCTTTACAACCACCTTCTTGTAAGGCACATCACATTACTGAAAGGAGCTAAGCTATATCCAGGGGACTTCTTTCTATTTTTAAACAAGGGTGTCTTCCCTAGCCTACACAACAGCAGTAGCAACAACAGAGAGTCCCTCATAACCTGCCTGAAACAGGATATCTATTTTTAGATTACTTTCTTAAATCGTCCTTAGTCTTATGTTGCTAAACCCTTCCATTCTCCTGTAAACCAGTGTGTGAGTGTGTCTGTGGCAAAGATAGACGTGAAGTTGACGTATGCGCTCCGATTTTTCCCATGGGCATCCGTAAATAGATGCCCTCTAGAAAAAAAAATAACCTTTTGCCTGTGTTTTCCCACTAGATTGTAGGCGGGTTTTGCAACCCACCCCTCCTCAAAACCTGAAGCTACGTTTGATGTACCTTCAGACAGGTGATGTTCCACCTACACACACACACACACACATCAGCTGTGCCCTCTCATCTACAAATCTGGAACACAAATTAAACAGACCCAGTCCTACTTCTTCAGAAGGAACCCAGCTGAGTGACACAGTAGCACCTGATGTGAATCCTAACATGTTGACTCTTTCTTCACTAGAAATGGAAGCCAAGAAGGCTTAATAATCATCCGTGGCCTTCAAGGAAGGGACCACCTCACTTGTCTTTCCGTTGCCCGTTCTCTAGACGTATTGTTTCTTGGAAGCACTGCTACTCGGCCGGCTTGGGAGCCTTTCCTGAGCGACCCAGACCTTGGAGCCGTCTGGGGCAAAGACATCCGGGGGTTTATTCTGGCCTTGCAAAGCCATGGTTTCTTCTGTGTTGAAGTTGGCCCAGTTCTGCTCGCTGGACAGCTTGTTGTAAGCCTGGTAGGAGGGCGAATGCCTTTCAGCCATCGGGAGGCAGAAGTAGGACTTTTCCGGATAAGGCGCGCTGGACATTTCACAGAGTTTGGAAGGGAAAGCGTTGGCGTCGCAGGGCAGTGGTGGGGCGGAAGATGGGGAGCAGCAGTCTGACTCCTTGACGTTGCGGAGCAGGCTCTTACCACAGAGGTAGAAGAGCTCCAGAAGGTTGAGGGTGAGGGAAATCAAGCCCACCACCAACATAAATAAGATGAAAATGGTTTTCTCTGTGGGGCGAGACATGAAGCAGTCCACCAGGTGTGGGCAAGGAGACCCCTGACACACATAGAGGGGCTTCATAACAAAACCATACAGGTACCACTGGCCAAGGAGGAAGCCAGCTTCAAAGATGGACTTGAAGACCACGCTAGCGATGTAGGTGCACATCAGAGGGCCACGGATTTTTATCTTCCCATCTTCGGTCACCCCGATCTTGGCCATCTTCTTCTCCAGAACCATGAGGGTGGCTGCCACTTTATAATCCTTGGACTGCAGGGCTCGGAGCTCGCTCTCCTTCTCCTTCAGCTTCTCCTCTCTCCGGTGGAGGTAGATGACGTGGCCCAGGTAGACCAAGGTGGGCGTGCTGACAAAGAGGAACTGCAGCACCCAGTAGCGGACGTGGGAGATGGGGAAAGCGTTGTCGTAGCAGACGTTGGTGCAGCCGGGCTGCTTGGTGTTGCAGACAAAGTCCGACTGCTCATCTCCCCAGACGGACTCCCCAGCGAGGCCCAGGATCAAGATGCGGAAGATGAAGAGGACCGTCAGCCAGATCTTGCCGATGATGGTCGAATGCTCCTGCACCTGGTCCAGCAACTTCTCCAGGAATCCCCAGTCACCCATCGTTCACTAGAGGATAGCGGAAAAACACGAGTCAACTTGGGACCCATCACCCTTTCCTGAGGACCTGGAGTGTGAGACACAACCTGCTCAAGGAACCTATACAGTTACCATCGTCCTTCACCATGACCTATGCTGGCTGGTGTTGATGGGAGTTGTGCTCCAGCACAAAGATTAGAAAGTTACGCAGTACAGTAGAATTAAATCCGGAAGTGTAGCTATCCATCATGATAGCTCCTGTATCCAACCGCCCCCCCTTCACACCACTATAAGGAAAGTCTAAAACTGAAGGCAGATGAGTTGGTTCCTATCAACAAAAGTTGATCAGGCTTTTGTAAAGTCAATGGTTCTGAATTGCCACCCAAACGACCCTCTACAACAGGGGTTATGCGTAACCATGTTCCTGTCTCAGCTACTCTGGAAATTGCAGCTAAGCTTGGACAGAACAGAGACAACTAGAGAAAGGTGTCAATTCTACTACTTTGAAAGTCCTGGGGCTTTGATCCCACAAGCCCAGCTCTGCTACACCACTGCAGTTCTGAAGGAACATACAGGACCTGCTGAAAACATCTGTATATGAGCACTGGCAGAATGTTACCCGGGTGCTCACTCTTTATAAAAATCAACTTTCCAAACAGCCAGTTGACTTGTTGATTTCAGTTTTCATTTCAAAACAATTTCCACCTGTGGCCAACGAGGAGTCGTAAAAATTCCTTACCCCCCACCCACTGGGGACACTTTCCTCCATGCTCAGATTCTAAAAAGCCATCTACTCTCCACTTCATTATAACTTCCAAGTGACTAAACAATATTGGCTAGATTTGTTGCAAATATCTAACATAGGCATTTACAATCACTTCATTATTTGTTTAATTGGTATACCACCCAACTGGCAATTCCCTTCAGGGCAGTTTGCAGTAATAAAAAAAAATCTGAAAAGCACCCTCAAACAACGTTTAAAAAAGGGAGTCAGGGTGGAATTAGTTCCAGTATTAAAATGTTAACATATGAAGATGTTTAAAAGCTGTGAAAAACCCAATGAAAATCTGGTGATTCAGCCACCAATCGCAGATGAAACAGCTGCCAGAGGAGAACAGCACTCACATCCACACACACACACACACATTGTAGAACTAGGGAAAGTTACTTCTGGGATCACAGCACCCAGTATCCACCAACCCACACAGCAAGCAGGGGATTCTGGGATTTGTAGTCCAAGACCCAGCTTTAAATTTTCCAAGCTTTGAAAGAACAAGAATGTCAAGTCTTGGAAAGATTGGTCTCGGTGTTGTGGAGAGCAGGAGCTTGAGAATGTCAAAAAAACCACAACTATTTAAAACAGTGATCATAACAAAGGGTTTAAAGAAGCAGGCAATAAGGAAAGGAAAAGATGAAGAAGCAAACGCCAGCAATGAGCTTTTAATCTCTCACCTTTTATGACCTTCCTCACCCTGTGCACACCACCATGCCTTTTGTGGCACACGCTTGGGCTTTACCGAGAGCGAAGGAGTCAATCAACCCCAAGTGGCCCGGGTGGGAATTAATTGACCTTATTAAGTGGCCCTTGTTTTAAACCACATGGGGGAAATGGGTGGGGCTCCCCAGGAATGTCAAAAAAAAAAAAAAGAAGGTCCAGCAAGGGTGAAATCTCTCCAGGAGAAACTCTGGAGGGTTGCAGGTGTCTGGAGGAAACTCTCAACAGCTGTCCAGAATCAGCCTGTTAGGGCTAAATCAGGATTTAGGAGCAATACATGGAAGAGGAGGGAGCCCTTGGAGTTCGTGGTTACAAAAATAAAATTTAAAAAATTCATTTTGCCCTGCTGTTAGTCCATGAAGAGACCTTTGCCTAGCGGACACGAGCTGGTTACGCCATGGAGGTCAACCCAGACACTGGCTGACCTCGGGGGGTTAAAGAGGTCCCTGCAGTGGGGATTGGAGAAGGGGGCCACCCTGCCCCTGTTTATAGCCTGCCACGTCTTAGTTGGGGCTTTTGAGTAGGAGAGGTGGCAAAATCCAGAGGTGGAAATGTAAAGCACGGTGACGTTTTAGGAGTCTTTGGTTTCTTAGATGCCTGTTTCTTTAAATAAAAAAAAAGAAAGAGGAAGGTATCTTGCAAGAACTACAATATGGAAAAGTTTTAAACCACAGCCATTCAAGAGACATGTATATTAGAGGGTACATCATAGGTCGTGTCTTCTTTCAAGGAGGAAACAAGGACTAGTAACGTTCCTTTTCAGTGATTGTCATAATGAGCCCTCAAGTCAGTTCTGACTTCTAGTGGCCCTTTCCAGGGTTTTCTAGGTAGAGAAATACCCAGAAGTGGTTTGCCATTCTCTTCCTTTAGGGGGCACTTTGGGACCGTGCATCTGGCCCAAGGCCACCCAGGCTGGCTCTTCTCCCAGGAGGCACCGTGGGGAATCGAACCCCCAATCTCTGGCTCCTCTGAGAGCTCCCTAAACCACTGAGCTGTCCAGCCAGCATTTTCAGCCGTAATAAAGCCCAAAGCATAATTTGAAGGACGATCAAAGTCGGAGTAGCCTGGAGCCTGTTTCAGAACTCATTGTATCTTCTCGGAATTGAAGAAAAGCCAGCCAATAAAGACCATGGATAGATTAATCAACCCTAAACAACCATGGATAGATTAATCAACCCTAAACAATAAGAAGATGGGACAGAATGCGAAGCAAAGGAGTCACTTTTAAGCTACCCAGAACCTCAAGGAGACCCACCTCGTCCTACGGAGTTTGAAGGATATCTAGAAAATTTGGAAATAGCTGTACTCACCGACAAGACAAATCTAGGTTCTCTGCCCACTTTTTCCTGATTTTTTTTAAAAAATGCCCTGAGTTCAGTTCTTCTCCAGAAGAACAAGCTGCCTTGAAGACGCCTGGAAAGCCTTCTGCTAAAGTCCGGCCAACTCCATTCTAGTTAGGAAGAACAGGAGGGGGAGAAGCTTGACTATAATAACTCTTGGAAAAGTTAAGAGGGGAGGAGCAAGAGGAAACGCAAGGGGCGGAGAAGAGGCTGTTGTGATCCTTGCTTGGAGTGCGCCAACGGGCTACACACAATTACAGTCTGTAAGGTCAGAGCTGGTCAGGCAGGTGGAAAGAAGGGAAATCGGAGTGGCTTCCTGGTTGAAGTATGAGCTCGTGGATGCATTAATGTGGAGAAAGGAGAGAGAGAGATTGAGAGAGAGAGGAGCAGACCATTGGGAGGTCTGTGCTGTGGTCTTCTAGGGTTCGCTCGCTGTCAGAAAGGGTGGGAGGTGGGGAGTTTTGCCCTCGTCCAGAGAAAGAGGAAGTTTAGGAAAACAATGGCGACTGAAATAACAACCTTTCTGCCTTGTGCGAGTCTCTGCCGGCCAAGAGCAACAAGAGGGAAATCCTGGACAAACGGAATTAGCCGGCGCTTAACAAAGCGTGGGAAACAAGAACTAGTAGTGACATGGAATTTGTCTGTGAGCGTGTAGCGTTGGTCTGCTCTAACGGCCCCGCTGCATCCCTGGGATGCGCCTTATTGCCTGGAGTTCGACAAACTTTCTTTCTTTCCTTCGAGAATACATTTCTTTCTTTCCTTCCACTTCGCCCTGGCTTTGTGACAGCAAACTGTGTCTCCAGAGAAGCTGCAGAAATGGAGCAGGGAATCTCATCCCAACAACCTTGATGGGCAAAGAGGGGTGGGGGAAAAATGCTTTCCGTCTCAATGCAGTTCCAGAGATCCTTCCAAGGACTACTTCCCAGTGTCGGGCAGTTCCAGAGGCAAAAGAGCAGGATCAAAAATGCCAGCGGATTATAGCTTAAAACTTTTCCCCACAAAAAAGTATGGATTAAGAGAGTCGTTTCCATTTTTTTAAAAAAAATCAGGGAACAACCCAGAGAGCCTCTAAGAAACCACACAGTGAGTGTGTTGTGAGGAAGGGGGCAGAGTTGTCTGAAGCCAGAAGACGTTTGCCAAAAAGGATAAAAGATATGCACCTGGCTGGTGGGTTTGCAACACTTGACTCTTGACATGGGTGTTCATTTTGAATCTTCCAGTTATTTATGATCAATCTCATTATAATTATCATTCCCTGTGGCTCGCCTGCATATCAGAAGCTGACGGAGTAGCTCAGGGGCTTAGTTCTCTGGCTGCAGAGCCAAAAGTTGGGAGTTCGATTCCCCACTGCACATCCCAGAAGAGCCAGCCTGGGTGGCCTTGGGGAAGCTGCTCAGGAGTCCCAGGGCGCCCCCTAGAGGAAGCGAATGGAAAACCAATTCTGAGTATTCCTCACCTGGCAAACCCTGGTCAAGGTCTCCAGAAATTGGAATCGATTTGACGTCATGCAATTGTTACCGCTGAGGCTCACATTCTTAACTAGCTGGGTTTGTTTACACATGGTTGTGCTCTGTTTTTTTTTGTTTTTAGTTAAGCTTCAGATGTTCTTGTTCCAATTGGCATGGACCTGTGGACTTGAATACAGTAGGACTCCCTATCCGCAGGATCAGTATGCACTGATTCACTTATCCGCTGCCAGCAAATACTAAATAGAAGCCCCCAGAAATATGTATTTATAAATACATATTACCAGGTTGTGTTACCAGAACTGGGCACTAGAGGTAGCCAGAGACCATGGAAAATACAGTATGTATAGTGTCTGATATGCTATATGCTATACGACACACTATATGGCCTCCGATACGCTATACGACATGCTATACAGCCTCCGATAACCGATCTCCCAATTGACACTGCAGTCCCACTGTACCGTAAAAAAGTCAGAAGCATTTGAAATGTGTGCTTATTACTGGATGTTAAGGATTTCTTCCTCTCCTGTGCTGAGAGACTGACCAGTGAAGAAATGCTAAGGCAAACAAATAAGACCAAGGAGCAATTCGTCCTTGATATTTTTCAGAAGTGCAGTCTTTTTAATTTTAGTAAATATTTCCAACCTGCAGATATTGGCTGAAGATCAGAACCGGCCACTAGGGGGAACTAGAGAGTATTGCCCATATTTTCCACCCTGTTTTTGCAATTCAGTGTGACTTGTTTCTGCATGGATTGGATTACAGGTGACTCAGAACAGTGTGGTTTCTTGGACTCCTGGAAATGAAGAGTAATAAAAAGAGATCATGTTTGGTTTCTCTTTGCTTTTTGGTAAAGACGATTTCCATGGAGATCCAGAAATGCGCCAATACCAGTATGGACTGAGGTCAGGGCAGTGGGTCTCCAGAAGTGCACTGGACACATTGAGCATTAATCGATGTGCTCTTATTTGGGCATGGACAAGGTCAAGCATGCAATGCACAGATCTCCATCTGATGTTTGAACGTAGGAGGGATTGTCTGAGAATATTGTTTCCTAGGGAGAATTCTGCACAGCTGCTTTCAACCTCTCGCCCGCCCAAGCATGCACAAATAAATCGCCAGCGGGAATGCCAAGGGTGTAGTGAATTTAGTTGACTTCTTTGCTCGTTTTGACACCCTTCCTGTTCTCTCTTCTTAAAATGAGGCAATTTCTCCATTCCATAAACCAGCAGGACTAAAAAGTATGGGATTAAGAACCGCACTTATTTATCGGTAGGGTAGCAGCGCCACCCACTGGAGAATCAACAGAATAGCAACACGCCAGATGTGTGACGTTCTCAACAACCTTGTTGGCTTACGAAAACCTGGAGAGAGGCATGGTGATTGCATAGATTATAACTCTGTATTAATTACATTATTGCCTCATCTTCTTGAGCTGAGGGCTAAAGAAACAATTTGAACTTATCTGGAAAACAATTGCGTTCTGCTTTTGTTGTTGCTATGCGCCGTCAAGTCACCTCAAGACTTATGGAGACCCTATGAGTGAGAGATTTTCAAAAGGGCTGAGGGCTAAAGAAACAATTTGAACTTAGCTGGGGAAAAAATTGAGTTCTGCTTTTGTTGTTATGCGCTGTCAAGTTACCTCAAGACTTATGGAGACCCTATGAATGAGAGATTTTCAAAAGGTCGTGTCCTTAACAGCCCTGCTCGGCTCTTGCAGACTCAAAAGTTGTGGCTTCCTTGAGGGAGTCAGTCCATCTCATATTTAGTTCTTCCTCTTTTCCTGCTGCCTTCCACCATTTCCCACATGATGGTCTTTTCCAGAGAATCCTGCCTTCTCATGATGTGCCCAAAGTAGGGCAGCCTCAGCTTCAACATTTTCGCCTCCAGAGATCGTTTAAGCTCGATTTGATACAGAAGGACCCTCTTGTTCATCTTTCTGACAATCCATGGTGTCCCCAAAGCTCTCTTCTGAAATATTTTGCTTTTAGCTATCAAGAAAGAGCCTGCAGACGTTGTCATAGTGTTGTGTGCTTTGGAGGGGCTGATGTCATTTCCACAATACAACTTTCCTTGGCTGTGCCATCGAAAAGGGCGACCGAGAACTACCTCCTCTATTTTTATCTACTCTATCATTTAAAATACCACACACACACATACAGACACACCCAGAGTGTGTGTTATAGATATAAATACACACACACACATATTGTGGTACACATACTACTGCCAATGTAGTAGAATTCATTTTCTAGAACAGCACTGCATCTATAGGATGTGTGTGTGTGTGTGTGTGTGTGTACAATGTATGATCTCTCTCTCTATCTCACACATTGTGTATGTCCACACATCCTATTGATACAGTGCTGTTCTAGAAAACGATACACATTGGTAGTAGTAACACAGTGCTAGGTAGATGCAGCGCTGTTGTGCTATGTCACTTTGTTTAACAAAAAAAGTGGGATGTCGCTGTGGCCTGCTCAGTGACAGCTGCAGGGAAAGGGACTGGAAGGGGAGCAACATTAATTGAACAGGGGACAAATCGGAGTGATCCAGACACCTGTCTGGACCCTTCTTTTGGGAGAAGAAACATCAATTGGCGTGAATGGAAGGGATCGCTCTGGTGAAAGCCGAAATAGCTCACATGAAGGATGAGAACTTTTTGAGCACAAACCAGCCTGCTCCATCCTCCCCAGCGCGGACGTGCCGTGAGATGAGCTATTCGTCATCTGCCCGAAAGATCCTTGGTACGAGCCAATATTTTGCGGAGGTTAAAAAATACGGGTGACCACTAGGGGGCACTGAAACAGCAAAGTTTTGATTTTATTTTAAAAGGAGAGCAAGCGAGAGGTAATTTTGCTTTCTGAACTTTCATGTTAAATAAAAAAAAAGAACCTCTCCAGAAAATTGGTTCCTCTGCTATTTTAAATAGGCAGCAGGCTCTCTTGCTTGCTGTCTCATAAATAAACCTTTTTGCTGAGTTAAGGGAACATACTGATCTAAAGGCTGGCATGGAATTAAATATGGAAAGGGCCATAAGATGTCATTAAAGTTTTAAGCCACGGTGCTTCTGAGGTGGATCCTTCAGGGCTTCTCCTCCATTAGCTGTTGTGCCAGCTGGGGCTTGTGTAGATTTTGAAAGATCTGGGGAAAAGGTGGGAAGGCTGTGGATGGGGAGCCGGAACGATAATTGGAAAGACATGGAAGAGCAAATAGGTCTGATGGAACAGACTGCTCAAGACAAACAGAAAATATTAAATTGCTTTTTGAAAAAGGAGAAGACATGTCTCCATTAAAATCTTGTTGGAAAAGCATAGCTGTACATTAAGCATCCATGGACCAAGATAATCTATCTGTGACTATCACGACAAACAGTGCGGGGTGGGGAAGCAATAATAATTTTCATACTCCCACAACAGGCAGAGAAGATGACATCTATATCTAGAGCGTGGGATTTTAAAATATATTTTCTTATTGATGTAGCACTGTTCTAGAGAAATGAGATACATTGGTGGTATTGTGCGTCCTATAATGCTAAGAAGATGTATTGCTGTTGCGCTATGTCACCTTATTTAACATATTTTCTTATTGATGTAGCACTGTTCTAAAGAAATAAGATACTTTGGTGGTATTGTGCGTCCCATAATGCTAAGAAG